ACTACTACTACTACTCCTGCTCCTCCATTCCTACCCCTTACCCCTACCCCTACCCCTGCTCCGAAAGAGAATTGATGTTTTCCGCTACTTACGGGAGGTAGTACTGCTGTTCTTCTTCAAGTATTGCTGCTCATTTTCGCTATTGGGATTCTTGTAGAAAGGTTTTGTCTGATGCCCTTATAAGAAGCCGATCGAACCGCCAATGTCTTCCTCTTTCTCTCCTTCTGGCTCCGAAAATCCGCCTTGGAGGATCAAGGGACTTAGTTCGCAAGGTTATAAGCGCCTTGCTTGGGTCTATAAGTCACTACAGATATAATTACCTATTTATGACCCCAGTTACTAAGACCCATGATCCTTAGCACACCCCGTCGGCTTGCGAAACCCCACACCCGCCAAGCCCATTAAAATGAAACCCCCAGACCGTACGTCATGGAGAAAGCAAGGGCGCCCTCAACCACCCTAACCATCAACGAATGCGGGCTCGTCTTAGATTTCAGTGTCAAAGTCTACATGAAAGTTGTCGGTTGAAGACCAGCTATTTGTTGGTGTTCCCTCCAGCTTGAGCCTAATCCCTAACACCCTGAGGCGCAAGAGCTCCAAGGCGCATTTCATAAGAACCCCTACAGAACGCTTATGGTAAGCCGTATCAAAAGCCTTGCAGTAACCTGTACATTAATCCCTAAACCGGCACCACACTGCCTCAAATTGCTGCACTGTGTCGAAGCCCAAGGAGAGAAAAGCGTTGCCTCGTACTTTCTCCAGGGGGTTCCTAAACCCTAAACCCTTGAGGGCGGGGTGTGGGGTCTGGGGCAGAGTATGGGGTGCACTGCTCTGAGGTTGCGGGTTTGGAGGCCTTGCGGCTTCGAGGTGTTGTTTAGGGCTTAGGGTTTAGGGTTTAGGGTTTAGGGTTTAGGGTTTAGGGTTTAGGGTTTAGGGTTTAGGGTTTAGGGTTTAGGGTTTAGCATTCTGGGTTTCAGAGCCTGGGGCCACAGGGAGGAAGGATGGAGACTAGCCGCAATAAAAGCTTTCTCGCCTGGGTCCTCATCCCGCAATGATGCGTGTACGAACCATGGGGCAGAAGAAGTTAGGGGGGATTAGGGATCAGGGCTTTGGGGTTTCGTTTTGGACTTGGTTCTAGGACTACAGGGTTAGTTGCAGCATGGCATCATTTTGGTCCCCAAAAGGTTCACAACCTTCATAATATCCTTCGGCGTTTGACCATCCTTGTGTATGCATGCAACACATGGGTATTATGTGTATGTATGTGTGTAGAGGCATAGGGTCCGGGATCAAGCTCCCCATAAGCGGGGGCCAATTGCCAGGGACCCCAGTGCCCAATAGCCATGGGCACGCGATGAGCCTGCGAGATGAACACATGGGTAGTTCTCTCAATTAGGGTCCCTTTTTGGGTCCCCAATATAGTACGGCACCCTTATAAAAGGAACCCTGAAAGGGGCCCTAGTTTAGAACACTACTTAAAGGATCATGGGACTTAGTAAGTGGGGTTATAACTAAGGTAACAATACTTATAACCCCATTTAGAGGACTTATAACCTTACTTACTAAGTCCCATGATCCTTTAAGTACTCACATGCATCCAGGAGATTATGAAGACCATTTGGGCCTGCACGAAGGAAACCGGCAAGTCACATGCTGCACGGTGAAAGAGATTTCCACTGTCTCCGAGATAGTTGTGAAGTTGGAGGCCCTCTTCAAGACTTCAAGATGGGCCATTGCATTCAAGTCCTGGACGATGTCAGGCAGTGCCTTTCATGAACTTCGTCACCAGGGCCATGATGTCTTGCTGGATTTTATAGCAGAGGGAGCCAAAAGAGAAAGTTGAAGAACCACAACCTCTTGCGCAAGAAGCATTACATGATGGAATACAAGCGCCTGTCGACGTGCTTCAGCGGAAGCTGGGATGCACAGGAGGGCAACGAGGCTACGAGTTCCTCCGCGAGGCACTCAGGGACGGGGGGGTGCCGCATTGCGTCCGTGCTGGACGTGGCCCACACCACAGCCGCTTTTTTCTACGCAGGTGGGAGTGATGTGGGCTTGAACCTGACTTTATGCGCCCGGGGACGCTGCTATTCGTCGGCCGACCGGGAGGCTTCGTGGACAGTCTCGAAGGTGGCATCACCAGCTTCTGGACGGATGGTAAGAGGACAGTCCAGACGATTGCAAAGCAGGAGGCTTTCACCGGCGTCGTAATGGGCCGGTCAAGGGCTTTGCCTTCGTGAAACATTACCACGAGGAAGATGGCTCTTTATACCATGAATGAGTACGAAGGTATTTACATGACCGGGAGGCTGTTGAATCCGGCATGCGGGGCATAAAGCTTGCAGCTTGCCTTTGCCCCATGAGGAACACGGCTCAAGCTTGTTGGTTGCTGTACTGATGTCCTTATATCACCTCGAAGAAGGTGCTTCAGCATCCAGAGAATGTCAATACATACCCTGGAGGAATATCCTGTAGTTTTGTAGGCCTGCTTCGCATCGCACTTTGTGACGGGTTAATTCAGTTTCCTTCCTTGGGGTCTTTGGTCCGAGGTTCCTGGCTAAAGTAGTTAGGCGCTAGGGCCGCTAGGGCCTGCCGACAGGAGCATGTTTGTGTGTTCTGCGTTTTGAGGTGTGGGTCACATGGGTGATGGAATCTCCCGTTGTATATGTCCGCTCCTGTCACCTCGAATGTGGGCTGGGGACAATTTCTGGCTTTGCCTACTGGGTACATCCCGGTCCGGGCCCTCTCCCTGGAGGACATGCCATGCAATTTCTCCGTCACCTAATTAGGTGCATGCCAGCGTGCCACATGGGCTGCGCCGGCACTATGGACTCACTGCCCCAAATGAGCGAAGATGAGCGATGAGTGCAAATGGATGTATTTATGCACACATGTACGCTTGTGTGCATGCATGTATGGACCAGTACATGTATATATCTTTGTACCTGTATATGGACAGGAATAAATATACGTATGTGCAGGTAAATACGTTCAGGCATGCCTATGTACAATCTAAATCTTTCTGTGAAATACACATATCATATCATATATATATATATATGTATATATATATATATATATACATGTACGATGTCGTATGGTGCCGTGTCACCATACCTGCACACATGTGTGTGTTGTTATGTACAGAGGACTCAAAGAACCCGTGGGAATCAGGGCCTTGGGCCTCCGGGGATGAAGAATTTGGAGCCTTTCCGGGGTCAGGTTTAGGGTTTAGGGTTTAGGGTTTAGGGTTTAGGGTTTAGGGTTTAGGGGTCAGGTTTTGGGCTCGTGGATACAATTTAGGCTTCAGGATTCAGGGCTTTGGGGTTTCGGGTTTGGGGTTCAGAGTTTAGGGTTCAACATTCGGGGCTGGGGTTTAGGGTTCAGGGCTTCGGTTATGCCTCGAGTAAAGAACGCCTCTTGCCGTCTGCAGCAGTCAGCTACACACGGGAGACTTCTAGAGTTTGAGGTGGGTCGGGTTTGGGCGTTCAGGGTTTGGGTTTTAGGTTTTGGAGTGTAGAGTTGCTCAGGGCTTGGGGTTTGGGGCAACGGGGTCCCCACTGCTCACTGCTCTGTTTCGGGTTCAAAGAGATGTGCTCATGAGCTTCTGCCTACTGTCATGCAGAGTCAAAGGCCGCCACCCCATACCATGCAAAAAATGAACTGTAGATCATCCCGGGACGCCAAAGCCACAAGACCTGCAATGCAGCCCTGCGGCGGAGCTCACGGAAGTCCGCAGACTCACCAGCCGACGTTCGCGGACTGTGCTGCAAATAGCCTCGGTTTTCGAGCTTTCAGTTCAAGGTTCCGGGCTTGGGGATTACGGACTCTTTACAAAGGTCGGTCAGGCCGCTGGCCACAATCGTCAAGGCCTTGGCAACTGTATATAAGCTCACTGCGATGAAACGAGATCTGAGACGATGTCACTCACTGGAGGCTTGGGGTTCAAGCTTGAATCGAGAAAGTTGATTTGTAGAAACGACCCCAGCCCAAACCAACAAACGCAAACCCTCAACACCACAAGCTCTCGAACCTCAAGCCCGCAGACCCTTTACCCTCAACCTCCAATTGGCCCTGTCTGGGCTTTGCCTGTTCATGTCTGCCCGGGTCCAACCCACCTGTTCCACTTCCTGCCATTCCGGCTCAGTCACTCGCAAAACATGTATGCGGTAGCTGGCGCTAAACTGTGGCTGAAGGTGCCCAAAAATGTCACGAATTGCTGCCGACACAGCTACTGTTGTACAAAACTCTCCCTTGAATCGCACTGCACCAAAAATATTCATTTCCGAGGCGTGGTGTCTCGAATTCAGAGCCCCGCCACATTGAAGGCACTGCACCTAGACATCAGCACCCCTACCACATCGACAACCGCTGTTAATCTTATGTTGACAAAAATTCTCGGTTTCAACACCGTTCCAAACAAGCTAGCCCCACGTACTATCTGGAGGACATTTCATCACGCACCATGTTTACGTGCTGTTGGTAAGGATATCTCAGGACTGTTCTTCTCTTCCCCCGATCGCCCAAATTGCCTCTCAGGGCTCTGAATTGCCAAGAAGTCGCGGTAGCTCTCCGCCCCCCGGAGCGCCAGAAGCTGCAGCGCAGGATCATCGCGGGCCTGGAGCGGCCGTTTTGCTTCGAACAGAACCGCAAAAACCCCAAAGGTCGGAACGCCCTCAAAGTTCAGGGATTAGAGTTTTGGGTTTGGGGTTTAGGGTTTAGGGTTTAGGGTTTAGGGTTTTTGGTTTGGGGTGCATGTGCGTGTGTGAACTTCCCTAGCACATGGAAAAGAGGGTCATTCCTACGTTTGTCTGCCACTTCGCACAGCAGGGGGCTTTGGGAGCCTAATTGGCAGGATGGACGCTCAGTGTTATGCAAACCATCCGCAATTCCACAATCCTGCTGAGCCATCAGCCAAGTAAGTATACGGTATGCGTGTGTCCGACCAAACCTGCTGTTCTCGCAAGTTGCGAATTGTACCGCGCGATAGAATGTAACCGAAATCGGATTCCAACGGCACCACTATCGATCCAATCTCTTGAGCGTGCATGGGTCTAGGGTTTGGGGTTTAGGGCTCAGGGTTTAGGGTCCAATCATGACCCGGCATCAACAGCAAGAACCCTAAGTCGACCCAGCAGCACAAGCAAGTGCGTCAGAGATGAACAGCTAGGGTTATACATAGGGTAACTGGACCCATACTTACTCGAAAACCCAAATGAGCTTCGTATAACCTTACTCAGTAAGTCCGTGATCTTGAGCAGCAGGTACTGCTGCTGCCACTATCACCACAGCTCCCTGACGATGATACAGAACTGTCGTACAAAAGACCTCGCCATTATTTGCTGCTGCTGCTGCTGCTGC